GCTGATGAACCGAAGTGGAGAAGCAGGGGCAGGCAGCACCTTTAAGGCCGGGCCAGGGTCGGCGAGCTCTGCCTTGGGGCCTGGGGAACCCCCGCCCCCATTCCCTGAGGGGCCCACACTCACAGGGCAGAGGCCCCACTCCCTCGCCATCCGTGCCAACTCCTGACCCCTTCAAGCTCTGACGTTGCAGGGTGAGGCCTCCCCGGCCCTGTCCCTGCAGCGCGTGTCGCACACGAGTCCAGCCTGTGCCCGATACCCGCGAGTGCGGGGCAGGCAGCGGCCGCACAGGCTCCCTGTACCACGACCCTGTGCCAGAGTAAGAAAAACAAAGGAGGGCCGGGCGCGTCGCCTGGTGCGAAGGCCCCGGGCTCAGTTCCCAGCCCCCACATCACCGTCCCAGTGGCCCCCCTGGCGCCTCCACCAGTGAGCCAGGGCGTCCTCACCCCAGATGGGAGGACAGCGGGTCCGCACCAGCCCCGGGGATGCCCGTGTGTCTGGCGGGGCGGAGGCTGAGAAGTCCCGACTTCCCGTCCCTTCCCGTGGAACGGACGCGTGCCCTCGTCCACGCCGCGCTGCCCCCCTCTCCCCGCCTCTCCCGTGGCTCCTCTCCGTGTCCCCATCTCCCCTTCCCGTCCGATGGCTGGGAGCCCCGTTCCCGCTGGACGCTGCTCTCCCAGGGCCCCACCGGATTCCCGTTCGCAGCCGGGAGGGGAAGAATCGAAGCCTGCATATTGGTTCCAGATGTGGCCGCTCTCGCAGCCTCCCTGCGATTTAATTAAATTCCCCCAGACAGCCAGGAGTGTTCTCAATGATCAAGTTTCCCGGCTCCCTCCTCCGGCAGCACTGGCCGCTGTCTCCCTGACGGATGGCCTGCGGGTCCTCCCTAACCCCGCACAGCCAGCCCAGGCAACACGGGGGACCCCACCCCCAGGGCACGGCGCCCCCCAAGGACATGGTGCCCAGGGGCCCCCTCCCTGAGCTCCGTCCCTGAGCTGGCCTGTGGGGACAGAGGGCCTCCAGGATGGGGGAGTCTCTTCCCAGCCAGGGTGGCGGGCTCGGACCTTCCTGGCACCCCCAACCCCCAGCAGAACAACTGAGGCTCTTCCAGGGGCAGGGCTGGGCCCGAGGCAAAGGCAGGAGGCTCCCATCAGAGGGTAAGCCCCCCTCCCCGTTTCCTGGGCTGCTAGACTCCCCTGCACCCTTCTTGGGCTGAGTGAGTCCCCACACTAGCCCCGTCTCGGGATGAGGTGGCCTGGGGTCCACGCGAAGCCTTCAGTGTGAACCATGGGCTTGGGGGTGGCACAGGACGAGGGTCCCTGGCTCAGCCCCTAAGTGGCTCTCAGAGGCAGCTGGGACGGGGTGCCGGGTTATGGCCGGTAGGCGGGTGGGGAGGCAGAGACAGGACAGCTCCTGGGAGCAGAGTCCTGGGTTGTCACCTCCAGACATCAGGTGAGGAGGCCAAACTGCATGAGGGACAGGAAAGTCCGTGCGGGCCTGGCCACTGGCCTGCTACCCAGCTCCTGCTGCAGTTCCTAGTACCTGTTTCCAGTTTGAGTTCACAGGTTAGGCCTCTGGGAAACCACAAATCGGGACACAGTCCCTCCAGCTTGTAGCCAAACAGGGCCAAGCAAGCTGGCCCTGCAGGCAGTGACCTCTAGTCCTGAAGTCAGAGGTCAGAGGTCAAGGGTCAGGGGTATGGGGAAGGGAGGGGCCACAGCAGCGCAGACAGAAGAGTGCAGGAAGTGGTGGCCCCAGGACAGTGGTTCAGACGGTTCCAGAGCCCCTTCTGTGCCTGGGTGCCCCAGACCTGCCCAGGGTGACCCTGGAGGCTGCCACCAGGAGCAGACAGAAGTGGTCTGTGCCTTCCCAATACCTCATGTGAGAAGCCTGCCAAACCAGAAGAAAGGAAAGAAATAAAGGGGGGGGCTTTTCAGTTCTGGGATTGAACCCAGGACCTTGCTATTGGGGTACATCTGTGGCCCTTTAAAAAATAAAGAGGGCCCAGGGATTTAGCTCAGTGGTTCTGCTGCCTGCCTTGCAAGCGCAAGGACCCAAGTTCATTCCCTGGTACAAAATAATAGTAATAATAATAAAAATATTAATAATAATAATAAATAATATAACATCTTTTTTGAGACAAGTGTTCACTAAGTTGCCCAGGCTGAGCTTGAACTTGTGATCTTTCTGCCTCAGCCTCCCCAGTAGCTGGGGTGAGACAGGCGCCTCCACAGCCAGCTTGGAGGGCTTTCTGAGGCACGGGCCTGGCTGCAGACCATCCACGTGGGGGACGTGGGCACCAAGAGGGAATGGAGCAGGCACAGGCACGAGTGAGCAAGTAACTGTGCGTGTGTGCGCGTGTGCAGGACTGCGTGGCCATGAGCAGGTTCTATCCCCTGGGGGCGTGTGGCCCTGTGTGGGTTTATAAATCAGCGAGAGTGTGAGTGTGCCTGTGTGTGCAAGAGACAGAGACAGTGAGGCAGCCCGGGGGGCCGGGATGGGGCCAGGGTGATCCCTTGGAGCAGGAGCTCCCATGTGAACCCCTCTCTCTAAGGCTCTCCTGGCCATGACACAGGGGCCCTGGAATGACTAATGCCGGGAGTGTCATGAAGAATTCAGACTGATTTGTGTTGAGCTCCTATCTAACCCAAGGAACCCCAGACAGACAGCCCAGGGCAGGTGCAGGAGCCCTCTGTGAATCACCTGCTGGGGGAACGGCATCAGCGGTTGGAGAGGGAGGGCGAGGAGGGCCGTGGATGCTCCTCATGTTCTCGCCCTGCAGCTCAAGGGTAGGAGGAGTGCCAGGGCCCTGGCGGGGCTTCAGGCCTCAGGTAAGATGCACTGGCACTGGTAGCGTCACCTTTCCACCGCCAGCACGTAGCACCTGACGTGTACAGCTTTAAGGAGGAGGGGTCCATTGTGGCTTCGTGGTTTCGGAGGGCTCAGTCCAAGGCAGGAACAGCATGGCAGAAGGACCTGGCAGAGGAGAGCTGCTCAGCTCATGGCGGCTGGGAAGTGGGGAGAGAGGAGGAGAAAAGAGGAGGAGCCAGAGAGGAAGGGGTGGGGCCAGGGTGTGTCCTCCCAAGCCACCTCCCCAGGGACCTCACCGCGCCCCACTCCCTCATCCCCCCCTTCACCTCTGAGCTCGCCGATGTGTGGGCTCCTGATCAGCCACCTTTCCAGGCCCCTCTTCGGAACATGCAGCCCTGGGGCTCAAGCCTTCATTACATGAGTCTTTGGGGGACCCTTCATCTTGAAGCCCTAAAACCACTCACTGGAGGAAAGGTAGAAGATACGTGGAAACAGAAAGAAGATTAAAGCTCCTGGGTACTGGAAATAACAGCCCAGAGCACCTCAGCCTGGGACTTTCAAGAGTGGAACCTGGCCATTCACACACACACACACACACACACACACACACACACCCCAAATGCAATTGCACTGTGCCCCTGTTCTGTAATTTACTTTGTTGAATGACTAGGGTCTTGCATACAGCAAGTCTTATCTGTTAGCTGTTGTCATTGCCCATCTCTCTTGTGGTTTTTTTTTTTTGACATTTTTTTGGTTTTTTGTCCTTTGTGACCCTCCCGTGCATGTCCTTAGCCTGTGCCGTGATGGGGCTTTGGCTTTCTGTGAACTGTGGACAGCACTCTTATGCACGAGGGCTGTGCCTCCCCTGCACACGGACTAGGACAGAGCCCCCCCCCCGGGCCTGGGCGCTGGGTGTTTGTCCCCAGGAGCCCTACCCGACTGAGAAACCCCGGACTTGGGTGACACGGAGGTCGAGACCCGCCCAGGGAGTGGGGCACTGGCAAGAGAAGAGAGGTCAGGGCTGAGATGGGTTGGAGTGACAGCGTTAGCGGGAGGCAGATGGAGGAAACCAGGTCGTCTCTGCTCATGCGGGGCAGGGCGGGGCACCCTCATGACAGCAGCCTGGGGACAGTGGGCAGCGCCCCAGGGTGGTACCCCAGTCCTGTGGGGGGGCAAGCAAAGTCAGCCCCCCACCGCTCCCGCCCAACCCAGGGGCCCAATCCAATGTGCCAAACAGTCACACAGACCAGGTGAAGTCTCTTCTCTGCTGTGCAACGTTCCAGAAGCACCCAACCCTTTCTGGTCCTGTTCCCTTGCTCCTGAGATGGGATGGAGTGTCACCTACTTGGCAGGCTTCGCTGGACTGGAATCTGAGGGTCTGGCCTTCAGCAGAGGGCCTGGCTGTCAGAGCACCGTGAACGCAGCGAACTGGGTCCTCCTGGGCCCAGGCCTCCGTTGGCAGAGCCCATGAAGGACACGGGAAGCTCTTCCTTCTCTGTATCCAACACCTCAGACCAGAGGGCTCCAGCCTGCAGTCGGCAGTGTAATGGCCTTAAATGTCCCCTGATCTCCAAACACAAGTTCAAGTCTGAGCCTGGACCCCTGGACAGTGACCACATTAGGAGCAGAACTCTTGCAAGCACGACCAAGTTAAGAGGAGGCCAGGCTGAGCCTGCGGACTCCCGGTGCAGCGATCGGTGTCACTCAAAGAGGAAGATGCGATTCAGACAGAGACCCAGACAGAAGTGTGCTCACCGGTAGGAGGAGGAGGGGCCGAGGGACCCCTGCTGCCCCAGCCCAGGGTCTAGGACTCCGGCAGTGCAGGAGTGAAACTGTTTCCGCAGGGAACATGGGCCTTGAATCTAAGCATGCGTGGCCCAAGCTGGCCCAGCCCTAATGAGACTTGACCAGGCCGTTCCCCGTCCCACTCTTTTGGGGGCTTCGACAACTTGTCACCCGATGGAACAACCGTGTTAACTGTAACAGTAGGGTCCTGGCTTCAGGACCCCAGGGCTGGCCCTGGGGGCACTTTGATGGCCTTTCCTTGGGAAGTCGTTTTGTTCGCGGCAGAGGATCCTGCTCTGCCCCTTATTTAATTTTTATAATGAGACAAATCGGGTTGAATCCAGAAGTCAGACCTTGGCTGTGGGAATGGAGGTCCCCGAGGCCCAAGCGAGCGGCCCAAGAAAAGATGCCCCGGTCCCACACGGGGCCTTGCTGCTGCGCTCCACGGCCCAACACCCACGGTGCTCTGGACCCAGGATCTCGGGCGGGCGGGATCGTAACCACGCCAGTGTGTGCTCGCGCGTGCTGCCCGGGCACCGAGGCGGCTGCTCCTGCCCTGGGCCGGGAAAGCGGTCCCGCGTGGGAGGTGGGCAGTGTTACCCTCTCTGTGGGCGGAGCTCAGACGGCGCCCGGCG